TTATGGTTCGGGAGAACCCCCTTTTCTAGCAAACCCCCTCTTTTATGGCGAACCCCCCTCTTCAAATTTCACAAATAAGTCCTCCAACCCAACTAATGCACTGCAGACCCAACCAGACACAGACGTTTTCAAACATATCTGCTTTTATGCATTATTTAGACCCATAAAGCACAAAAATCCTCTTGCTTTGGGGGATTTTCCAACCCCACCGGGGCTTCGACCGTGGACCTCACGCCCCAGAAAAACCCTTCCCACTCCCCTTGGAAGGACCTGGCTACGGGCCTGGTACGACGCGAGGATATGCGAAGCGGATCCACATGGGGCCCTGGATGCTCTTCTTAGTAATAGGGCGGTTAAGTTTTTGAGACAAATTTAACCACAGATCGATACTGTCACTCAGGTTCCAATCGAATAATTATAGCCTACGAATGGCTAGGCTAATTCTAAACTGAGGTCACTTTATTCATATGTCTATATGTTTGAGAGTGATGCGAACCGCCTCCCCATCTTTACTAATGTACTAGGCCTATTAAACTTAATTCAATGAAAAGTGAAACATGCTGTAAATTACTTATTTTTTAGAACCGTTATAATAATTTACAATTAAAGAAGAATGATTTAATTAACCCTGATAGTCTTTTACATTCGTTTTCCCATCATAACACCGTTCTGCCTGTCTTTCATTTTTATAAAACACAATGGCGGTGATGTCATTCAAACCACAAAGCTGCATTCACATCGGATCCGAATTGGACCGCGTTTCCGAAACGCCAGAATCCCTATTCTTAAATACCGATTCAATTTTCTGGTCGGTTCGGTAAGCCTTCGGATCCGAAAATTCGGATTCGTTGTGAATTCATCTTTATTCCTCTATGTTTAAACCATTACATCTAGTAAATCAAAATCCGACGGTTAAATTATTTTCAAGTTTTGATTACCAAACTACCACTAATTCTTAAGAAACTGATTTATTTATTTATTTTTATTTATTTATTTAGGCACAAGACAAATGCACCAATGATTGTCAAGCGAATACATCACCGCCCTATATTTAGGTGATAATCCATTTCACAAGACAAACACACACGTTGCTTTACACAAACTAAATATGAGGCTTAGGGAGTGGAGTTGTTTTGGTCGTGAGAAAAAGTCCTGCAACTGACAGGAATTGAACCCATGACCCTGGGATTGGAAGGCAAGCATCTTAACCACCAAGTGTAAGTCAAATATAATAATAAAACGATTTTAATGTTGATGAAGACGACGATGACAATATAAAATAATATAATATAATGATGATGAAAATGACGTTGATTGGATTATTATTTTTATCATCATCATTATTATTATTTAATTTGTCTTAAGTACATTTTTTAAGTATTTGTATTTTTTTTTAATAAATATTTTTGTCATTATTATTAGAACTGCGTGTATCTTTTGTTGTTTTTGTAACGGACATGAGTAATTAGGAATTGGAATTCCACGTAATGTAATTACAGTAAAATAGAAATAACACAAATTGGTAATTTTAAACCAATGAAATTTATGAATTTTAAATTTCATTGAAAATGACATGTGAGCCAACGCCTGAACCCGAATACCTTCCATATCTTTTAAAACGAACTATTCCAATACTTGTATTTCGAAATTTATACCGTATCTGCGCTACTTTCGTAAATTGATTGCTTGGGAATTCATATATCGTTTTAGCTGCTGTCATGGATCCCAGCGCCCAGAATGAATCATGCTGGTAAAATAAACGTAGTCCACTAATGGTTGTCGGTATGATTTCCTCTTAATCTTTATGAAGAATTAGGACACGAAATCCACACTCGTTTCCGATTTGAATTCAGGAAGTACCGATCGAAACGAAAGTGAATCAATTTTAACATTTGTTGATGTATCTGAGACATCAACATAGAAAAAGTTGTCAAACCTGACATTTCACTTCTGAGTGTTGTATTACAATGAACTTGACAAAAAAACTGTTGTATGCCTATATTTAGTCATGGTCTGCCTATATATGGTCATGATGTGATATCATCAAGACCATATTTAGGCACGTCACATGTTTTTGTCAAATACAATTTTATAGTCCGGACACATGGCTTTACAATAAACTTGCAGGTCACTTTTTTTTCAAATAGTAAAATATACAATTTAGGGTTATGCTATTTTTGTGTGAACAATAAGACGATGGTATTTACTGGAACGAATGTATTTTAGGATGGTGACCAGGAGGAAACCAGAGGTGGCTACTTTCAGTGGGAAAGGCTGTCAGATGGGGTTCTGACAATTTAATTTCCTGTGAAGTCAAGAGGATGTCACGCCCCAATCAGGGCCCAGGGGAAAGCTCTAGTGGAAAACATCCATGTAAATGATACAAAACTGATCAAATTTTGGGCCATTTATTTTTTAAGCTGTTTTGAAGCATCTTATTATCGTGTTATGAGTTCTTTTAGTACTACGATTCATGATTGATGGAGAGGGGCCTGGGCCCGCAGATTAAGAACCCTCCCCACTCCCGCTATTGGCGCAAACATCAAGAACAATTCTGCATGAGAATTAATGCTGATAAAATCCAATCACTTAATAATCAATCAATTACGCTGGCAAGAATTAACATTGCAAAACCTGGATAAATTGTCAAGAAAATACAACAGATATGAAACTTGAATAATATTATATTTATTTTCATAATTATTAGATAGTCATACATACATGCTGTTTCTTTATATTTGATAGGGGTAAAAAATGGAACATTCTGGAATGACAGTCGAACCTATCAGAGCAAGGTTAGTAATACGCCCTTCCCCCCACCCAAAACACACAAGTGTTGTCCCAAAAAACACACGCGTTTACATACGATTACTCTATCCTTTTGTAGAAATCCATTTTGCCTTCCTCACTGTGGTGCTGTAAATATTATGACACTTAGCAATAAATGGAAGCTTAGCAACAATATCCAAGAGGCGGGGCTTTACAGAAAGGTTTACTGCTGTTGCTATACACCTGGTGTACATCGTCATGGTTTCAATCAGTTTAAAATTGGAAAAATCAACAATTCTGTGTTTTACAAACACTGGCCTGTCATGAAGCTGAACGATCTCTGCTTCAGATACACAAACAGCATCAGAGATACCAGTGTAAAATGGCCCTGGTCTTCATAATTTGCAGAGTCAAAATGTTGAGTCTTACATGTCTTACATGGAAGTCATTATAATTTGCACTTATGTATCTTCCAATAATAATTCTATTTGTTTTACTCCAATATTTAGTAGTCTTCTGGTTCCTTTTTAAAAGTATATATTTTCTTTATTTTATTTTATTTTATTTTTTGCAACAAACTTTGATAGTAAAAATCATTAAAAATTGCCACAAACGTTTGATGCAATTTCTACATTTTCAATGCGGTTTTCATTGCCAATGTAAACTGAAGCGACTCAAGATCATTCGGTATATTATAGACTGTAAATGTGTTTAGACTGTAAATGGAAATATCCTCCAATATTAAACTGCATTAGACAGTTTTCTCCTGGCTTGGCAGTGTAAAAACAGTATGCCCCTTATCAAGCCAGCACATTGCTTTGCAGTACGTACCAAGACCTACTAATATGAAGGCCTAAAGCTTTTGAGATTGACCAATAATCGGTGATGGAAAGGCATACACTAGATCATTGCAAAAATAATATATCCGATTCCAATAATTTTCATAGATAATTGGTCACCTGATTCACATATTGGTATTTCTGTGGCGATACATACTTTGCCGTTTGGTTCTAACGATTGTACATGATAATGGATCACCTGATTCCTGTATTGGTAGATTTTTTGTGGTCTGGTTCCTGTGCTGGTAAATGGCTGGTTACCTGGTTCCTGTGATGGTACATGAGCAGTCATCTGGTTTTCTGTGATAATAAAAAATTGTCCTTCTGTGTCCTGTGCTGGTACATCATTGTTCACCTGGTTCCTGTACTTGTACATGACAATTTACCTGTTTTTTTTGCACTGGTACATGATTGGTCACCTGGTTTTGGTGCTAGTACATGACTGGTCACCTGGCTTCTGTGCTGGTCAAGTGATTGGTCACCAGGTCCCTCTACTGGTACATTATTGGTAATTAAGTTCATTGCTCATACAAGTTACCTGATTTCTGTGCTGGAACATGAGAGATGACCTGGTTTTGTGATGGCGAATGATTGGCCAGCTGGTCTGTGTGCTGGTATACGGTAGGCCACCTGGTTTCTGTGTAGGTATTTGATTGGTCACATGGTTTTCTATGCTGGCATATTATAGTCCCTTAATTCTTCTGACAATACATGATTTGTGGAATTTTTTAAATTGACAGAATAGGTATTAAATCTTCTAAATGACAATTATAATACTGTCATTCAATGAGCTCCAATGAACTCAATATTTCAAGTAATTAGGAGTCTATTATCCAGGCAAGGTTGCCAGGATATGTAGTGAACATTATAGTTGAACTCCATTGAGCAATTGGATATGTGGAAATAGATTTTTGATTGCATTCTGGAAATCATCAAGCTGACAAACTGGGTTACCTGTGAGACTTAAACTTGAAAGATTTGGACAAGATGTTAGGGTTGAAAGGTCATCTATAGACTTGATACCTGGTTTAACTTGTGAAGGATCATAATAATAGTGGTAATATATGTTAATTATTTATACAAGATACAAAATTTTGTTATTTTCAAAATGTCATTTTTGAGATACACTGACAAAATCATACAAACCATGTAATTTTAAACAGATGCCTATCATAATAAAATAACAATAGGCCTAAAATACAGTAGTAATAATAATAATAACAATAATAATAATAATAATAATGTTATTGATGCAGCATATCAAAACAATATATAAAAGTAATACAATGAAAAACATGAATGAAAAGCAAATTAAACTAAAGAAATATATAGTATTTTATCTTTGTAGGACCATACAGAAAAACAGCATTACCATCTTCTCTATATGCTACCTTGCCTAAATATGTAGATAAATAAGAAATAACATATATATTCCTACAAGGAATGTGAATATATGCAGTGAAGGATACTGTTATTGTTAATGGAAAGTTCCTTGAGGGAATGCATAGGGCCAAGCCCCTGTAAACTTGCGATGCTGTTGTCGTCTGCTAAAATCTTCTCCGCACACTGTAACATGTGACAACCTGACAGTGATGTGAGCTTGTTGGATGATATGTTGATTTCTGTTAATGGTACCAAGTGTTCAAGATGAATCAGTGTTGTCAGTTCCTGGTGAATAAGAATGCAAATGCTTAGATGTATAGTAACAACAACAATCTAATAATGATAAACAATTCAAAGATTAATTCTGGCATTGTGATAATACCTGTATACTGTAAAACTTCTAATAATAACCCATTACTCTATTTAGTAATAACCTTCTAATAGTAACCCAACCTAGAAGTTATTATTTTCAAGTGCCTACATAAGGCTTAGTAATGCAGTAGTAACCAGCTACTCTAATAGTAACCCATATTCTAATAGTAACCCACCCTAAAAAAACAATCAAAGAATAGTAACCCAGGATTACTATTAGAAGTTTTATGGTAATCAAAGTGAAAAAAAAAACACGTTATGACAGTCAATTCAATGCACATTTATTCAATCAATGTATCATGAACATAACATAAATCTTTAGTTTTTCAGTAATAAAATTCCATTGATAAGGATCAAGCTATAGAAACAGTTTGGCTTGTCTCAATTGACCCTTACAAAAAAGTACAAAATAAAATAACACAAAGCACACTTATTATAACAGTACCATATGTACATACACACACACCCTCCCCACTCACCCACACACATACACAAAAAATGTATGGAAGTTGCATTGGAATGAGTGTCCTTACAAGTAATGGGAGGGGAAGTGGGGTAGTCAAGGAATTTTAACTTGGACCAACAAAAGTGAAGCACTATCTGGGATGAATTTTTCATCAAATAAATAAAAAAAAAATAAGTGCCCCCCACCATTTCTTAAATACACCACTGCATGTACATCGATTAATACCTTTTTTGACAAGTCAATCACTTTGATTCTATCTTCTGCAGCTTCAGCTCTTAATATTTCATTCTCTATACAAAATCTACTTCGCAGGTCATGAAAGTAGTTTGCGCGGTACGGATCAGTCCTCAGAAGGATGTTCATATAATCGACGGTTTGTGCCTCATAACGTAACGGGTCTAATGACCTCATCAGCTGGATAATTGTAAAAACACACCCTGATGAAAAGACGATAAAATGCAAATTAAAGGAAAAGTGAATTAGAAAATTAATTGTGAAAGCGATACAAACGCACAAGTTTTATCTGTCAGCATCTCTGGCTATTGATTTATGAATTTCGTCCATTTTCATTTCATTTACAAAACTCTTCCTCAAGAGAATTTGCTATGACGAAGAAACATCTGGTGACATCTAAAAGCTATCTTCAGAAAATAATAGGGAAGTCACAGAAATCAATCAAGCAATCAATATATCAGTTAATAGTGTACATGTACATATTAAATATGATACCTTCCATAAGAGGTTAGTATACATAATATATTTGAGTAGACTACTGTATCTCTACATATTATAAAGATAATAATAATCAGCAAAAACAACAGTAAAAATAATATAATGAAAATAATAATAATGTCAATAACAATAATAATAATAATAATAATAATAATAATAATAATAATATAACATACCAATAATATTGATAATGACAATAAAATTATAAGGCTAATGATGAGGTTGATCATATAACAATAATAATAATTATATATATAATACAATAATATATAATTATATATATTACTTATTATATATAACAATATAACAACAATAATAACAATTTTTTAAATAACATGATATTTATAACGACAAATCAACAACCAAAGATAAATAAATATTAACTGAAATAAATTATAAAAGGAGCCTAATTAGAAGAGACATGTCTTGGCAAAGAGTGGATTTTTTCTTATTTGCAAGAAAAAAATTAGTGGTATACATTGCAAGAATTGAACCATAGACCAAGGTATTGGAAGGAGGGCATCTTAACCACCACCCCACAGCAAGATAGTGTATGTTATGGACAGTTTTTCAAAACTGGAATACAAATTACACCAAATATTTATTAAAGAAAGTCTTTCCTTTACCTTTTATTAATGCTAAAAATAAGTTAAAATGTCGCGAGGACCAAAGGGACAGTTTGCTTACATTTGTTATCTGGTTCAAGTTCGAGAAGCTGCTGGCACGACTCCAGTTCTTGGGTTAGTACGCCCGTTTTTTCGACACTTAGTTGAGAAGAAAACAACCTTGCTGCCACATTCACTTCCTTACTCCAACTTTCAAAATCCCCTGCAGCGGAAAAAAAGTGAAACTTAATAGATAGCATCAATATAAAGGAAATGAAGCTAATGTTAAATGGATAGAAACGTGCTTTAAGAACAAAAAAAAATGGAGTTGGTACAAATTGGTCCATGCATATCACCAATCTCGGCAGCTAAGTCTACTTCCAACTATATCATTAAAAGTTGTATTATCAGATGAAAAATTCAGAAACCATCAACCAAAAATAAATAGTTGAATTAGCATATCTTTGAAAAATCATAAAAGGTATCAAGTTGAACATGAAAGGGGGTTAAAAAACATATAAGTTTACAGAGTGTTCATCAAAAATTTCTAAAAACTATTACAGTAGTTTTAATACCCAAGTACATGCAGGTCACTAGAACCTTAGTGGAGTAATGCCCCTATCACAAAATGCATAGTTCCTTTAGGCATACATAATATGTTTTATCTTTTGTATTTTTACTTTATTGTTTTTGGGCAGATACTAGTACCTTGATGGCTCATGCAGCAATAAAAATAGAATATAGCACTCTTATAACTGTCTCTTATACACATCTAGATGTGTATAAGAGACAGCTACTGTACTGTACCTTGGAGTAGAATGTCTTCCCTGACTCTTCCGGTACTTTCCTCATCAGGATAGAGAAGCGGAAGCAACTTGCTCCGGTAATGCCATGACGAGAAGTTGGAAAAATTACTACTGATCTTAGCGGTGGAAAATTCCAATTCATCCTTTGCTTTAACATTTGACCTTGCTACCACAAAACGACGATAGTCCCAGCAATGAACTTAAGGCTGTCTCTTATACACATCTATATAACTTAATGTAGCAAAACAAAATAATGATGATGATGATGGACAGAATAGAATACAATGTTCATTGTAATGTATCCTTAGAATTTACCTAAGTACAATAGTGTCATTCCAACTTTACATTGTATACACTTGTCTTTTGTGGCAGTCCTCACTCGTCAGTTTTTTCTGTCTGATGTTCTGGTTTTTGTTTTTGTTTTTTTTTTGGTATAAATTTTAATATAATAAAAAAACAAAAAAATGGACTGAAAACCACCATAACATCCACAACAAGGATACCCAAATTAAGGAATGAATATGCTGGCCATTTGATGTCGTCCACTCTCCATCTCTAACTTGACCATTCATGGTGACCACAACGCTGTTCTTATCCGGGATGAGCACTGGCTGCGCAAAGACTACCACAATCATATTGTGTCTTTTATTTGCGTACAAATAATTTATATTCTGGGGGCTGTCACCTGAAAAAATGATTCAAAACATGTGTAATTTTTTATAGCATAAATGCCTGTTTACACAATGACGCTAATGATCAACGATAAAACACTAAAAGCAATTGTTCATATAGAAAATTTTAAAAAATAAGTTTTCACACTAGCATGATTCGATAACGATTTATTATGTATACGATAAAAACATAATTTCACAAATCAAATGATGTCATAATCATTAGAAAACGATAAAATTGTAGTAGTAAAAATGATTTTATCGTTTACCCATGATTATGACGTCATTTGATATGCTTTGTGAAATTATTTTTTTATCATATACACGATATACCGCTTTCGAATTGAGCTAGTGTAAAAACTTCAGTTGGGGCCAAATTCAATAAATTGTTTGTTTGCCCTTCTTTTTTTAAAATGATAAATAGGGGCGGGTGGAAAAAATTTTTTTTAATTAATTTATTTTTTTAAATACTCATCAGATGGAATAAAAAAAACCCACAGAGGCCTAGAATGGCAATATCTTACATCAGACAACAACTTTAGACTAATTTGTAGGGCATTTGGCCAAAACTAAATAAAAATTTACTCACATTTTTTTTTAATTGGTAAAGAAAAAAGCTAAGAAAAACCCTTATTTTTTAAAGTTTTTTCGTTTCTTCCGCACCTTTATTTTTCAGTGAATTAGGGGCAGGTGGAGGAGAGTAAGCAATTTTTTTTTTGGCCTTATCGTTGATCATTATTGTCATAGTGTAAACAGGCCTTATGAGGGCAAAGCAGCCCGCAGGATGCCTGCAGGCCTACGCCAAATTTGTTGTAGGCCGAGAAAATAAATTCAAACTCCCGCCTAACATCTTTGGCTATTAAAAAACCCCTTCTTGTTAAGGCCTAACGATGAACATCTGCAAAAAGTAACATGAAAAAATAGCATAAAAGCTGTATAAAAACAGTGTATGAAGGTATGTGCAATCACATTGTACAGTAAACCTCAAATTTTCATAATAAGTTTGCTTGAACGAATGAATGGCATTCTTACCTCTTCCAAGCAACCATCGGTGATAGAACCACGCACTTTGATCATTTGGATCAGTAAAGAAAGCATTCTGAGCCAATTCATATTCTGCAACCAAAACAAAACACTTGTAAAAAAATTGTGCCAGCCCTCTTCTACTGCAAGGCGTATTTATTTTTTTTTTCTTTAGTGCATCCAACAGTGTAAAATACCAATTACATTATAAATTATAATTCAAAATACGATTTCAAAGAAACAATATTAAGTAAGAATAACAATAAATATCAATAAAAACAATACAAAAATCATAACAATGATAAATATTCAATAATAGCACCTAGTTAAACTTGAAACTACAATTATAAAAATCAGGATTATCATTTTAAGAAAGACAACAATTGCAAACTAAAGAAAGATTACACAATAAACCATATTTACAGATATTGACACGGGAGTATTTAACATTAAGAAATGGTTTATCCTCATTAATACCCTTATTTAGTGTACTGTACTGTACCTTGGAGTAGAATGTCTTCCCTGACTCTTCCGGTACTTTCCTCATCAGGATAGAGAAGCGGAAGCAACTTGCTCCGGTAATGCCATGACGAGAAGTTGGAAAAATTACTACTGATCTTAGCGGTGGAAAATTCCAATTCATCCTTTGCTTTAACATTTGACCTTGCTACCACAAAACGACGATAGTCCCAGCAATGAACTTAAGGAGTACACAAATATTTCCATTGTGAAAATAATGTTTTCATGAATACACTTCAATGTGCTTTACATAAATAAAATTGGTACTAAAATGGAGTGTAGAAGTAGGCTACACAATGAAGAAATCTGTGCAGAATTATACCATGAGTTCAATTAAATACCCCACAAACAAAAAAATGCACACTAATATATTATACAGTTACTTGCCTTCCAAAATGGCATTGAAAAACTGTTTGACTTATATAATATTTAATTTGACTTACAGATTGTTAATTAATAGAAAACACAACAATTTGGCATGTAAAATAAGGTCGACTTAGAAATTATTCGACTTAGGCAAGTTTAACCATATTACTAATAAGTTAATTCAATAATAATGATATAATGATAATAACAATAAACAACAATAATAATACTACTATTAATTTTGTATTATTATGAGTAACAGACCAACCCTGAATGTGTCTATGACTAATTCATTTATATATAATTGAATGACTGATTGAGTGACTATTTTATATACACATTCATAGATTTATAGACTCACTGATCATCTCTTTAATTGAAACACATTGACTCATTGATTGATTAACTTATTATTGATTACATTAATAATTAAATGACACATCAAATGAATAATAGACTGACATTCATTTATTGATTAATTACCTAGTGGTGAGTTGTTAGGAGTCCCATTGATTAATTTTACTGACTCCTTTTGAAATTGATCGATTGCTTGATCCATCAATTGCCTGTTTCGATAATCAATTGATTGACACATTGATTGATTGATAAATTGATCAATTAACACGTTGACCTCTAGACCTTTTTTTTAGGTTCCTTCCTGTGTGCCAAAACAAGTATATATACTGTATACAAACATAATTTTTTGAAATTATATTTAGTCATATATCATTAAAATGGTGTCTAATAAATTGGCGGGAAAATAATATAGTGGACATAGTCTTTGCCAAGTGCGAGTTTTCTCGTCTGCGTTTTGCATGGGTTGGTATACGTTCAGAGGGCGCCCCCCCCACTAGGGCAATCAAGTGTACTGTTGGCAAGAAAACACAACAAACATACATCAATTATTTATACGTTATCATCTAGGTGTATATTCCCTGAACTACCAGCCATTAAGTAGTAATATACGCTAGAATGTTACCCTGATTTTGACGAGTATAGTCGTCCCTAGCGTCCTCATCAAACACCCTGTGGGACAAGTATACTTGTCGCTGGCAGGCAATATGTTAACACTTTTCTTTGATGTCCACTTACAATTGCGCTCATCATGTTGAAGGTAGATGTCACATAGTTTGAGTTCTTTCTTCCAATCAGGATGAGGCATGTGATCCATGATCCAGCACCTGTGATGCCAGGCACCATACGACTTGGGATTCACCTGCAGGCAATCCTCAAGGAAAGAGAGCTCCGATGAACATAAAGCCTGGAAATCGTTTTCTGGTCTGTAATAAAGGCAAAATGAAAAGATAAACCTTCTAAAAAATCTTATGCTTGCTTTTTCTTTCTTATTTTCTACAACAGTGGAGGGAGTTAGGGAGTGGAGTTTTTTTTTCATTAATGAGAAAACATCCTGCTGAACTGAACCCAAGACCCTGACAGGGGTGGATCCAGAGATATCCGAAAGGTGGTGGGGGTGAAAGGGGGAAAATGAGAGACAACACTACCCTAGCGGGTCCGAAATTTTTGTTTTCTAGATGCCCGATAATTTATAAGGCGTTTTGAGCAATCAATAATTTCTTTTTTTTTTTACTTTCCCAAAGGGGAGGAGGGGTGGGGGTGGCTTTTCCCCATCCCTTAAATCCTCCCCACCTGGGAATAGAAGGCAAGCATCTTAACCACTAAACTATCTAACTCCATGCTTATTATTATTTAACTGGACTGGACATTTCTGCTTTCATCATTTTTTATTGTATGTAATTTTATGGCTGTAAACTGAAATAAAAGATTGGAATTAAATTCAAGAGATGGATGGCAGATGAAATGAACATATTTCCATACCTATTTGTCCTATAGGGACAATAATTTTTTTAATAATTAATACAGTAGAACCCCTCCCTCCTCTGGGACAGCCATAATTCAGGGGATATTTTTTGGCCATGTATTGAGCAAAAACATATCTTTCACAACTATTTCCAGCCCCTATTAAAAGGAGACACACTATATTAAAGGACACTTTTTCTAGTACCAAGGTGTCCCCTTAATAGGGGTTCTACTGTAGAACCATGAAACCATCTTCATAATTTTATTAATAGCAGAGGTGTTTCTTCATTTCAAAATTACTATTATGTGAATATTCTTTATTCCTTGCATATGAGACAACACATTGAGGAAAAAAAATGTTTCCTAATGGAAAAACTAAATTATAGCTTAACTTTTTAGCTCAGTAACATTTATAATTAAATCAACATAAACATAAACAACAAGAAAATAAATGCATGCCTAATCATCTCTGTCACCATCATCCTGGTAAAAAAAAAAACGTTTTAAGTTGACAGGATTATAATGTCATTTTGAAAATACCAAAATGATTCTTTAATCAAAAACAATAACAAGAATGTAACATAAAACCCTGGTCATGGCTTTATAAAGCACTTGCAGGGTATCACAAAGGAACAAATATAAAAGTGTTAAATAAAAAAACCACGATTTTTATAAATAATTTTAGTCAAATATAAATAAACATGATCATGCCTCTCCATACTTCACAAAAGGACTGATGACAGATGGAAATTTAAGCAATTTTCATTGTTGTTTCAACATGATCATAGCAGCTTTTAAAATGAAACCAATTCTTACCGTGATGAGCTCACTTCTAAGAATATTTCTTTCCTGAAATTCCACATTGTGTAAAAATCAGGGTTGGCGGCTAGCACTTCTCTAGTCAAACCCAATGCTTCATCATCCAGCTCTTTCTCGGCTCGCTACCAAATAACAAAGCAAACAGTAATAAAAGTAATGATAATAACAATAACATTTAATAATTTTGAGAGTAGTAAGTAGGTTTAGTCCAATTTGTAAATGTTAAAAACAAAATAAATTTGAATATTGTATGAATTATTAATAATTAAAATTGTATCCTACTACAGGTATATGCATCTACAAACAGTAAATTTACAGTTTTTTTAAAATCTTGATAGCGCAACACTGTCAGCAGACCTACCGGTATATTTTCAATCTTAGTAGTACTGTATACATACAAACCTTTTTCCATATTTTTGAAGTGACACCATTATAAACCTTTAATTTCTTTTCCCGTTCTTTTCTTTTAGCTTCCTTTTGCTCTGCGGTGGTTCGTACTTTCACACGCCCATGCTGTAGAGAGAGCGGTACAAACAACTGATTTGATCAATCCACAATGTGTGTTGTTCCAGAGCCGATCAATTACAAATCAAGATTAAGAAGATATAGACAGAACATACTGATTTATTTTTTTATTCAAATTCACACCTGGCAAATATGTAATTTAAATAATTTACAATGAGATAAAGTTGCCGGTGACAGAAAAAGGCACACAGACGAGCAATCTCTAGGGACCTCAGATACAGTGGCGGCACTAGGAAGGGGGGAGGGGGAATTGCCCCAGATAATTTTCTTTCCCCCAGATAATTTTCTTTTCCCCCACCCCCCGTAAAAGTAGAAAAACTACAATTCGTAGGGGAGAAAAAAAAATGATATATATTTTCTACATATTATTAGTAGACTATCTATAAAATTGATTAAATAAGCCTCTGAAACCCCACAATTTTCATATTTTGGGGGTGGACCACTTTCAAAACATTTTGGGCCACCCCAGCATATTGCAACCCCTCTAAAATTTTGCCTTTCCCCTCACTTTGCGCCCCCCCCCCCAAGACTTCAGACTCTGGCGTCGCCACTACTCAGATAGCAGCCAATCTCAAATTGCACAGGTTTAGATGGTACATTCTCAATTAGGATAAAGAGGTTCAAATATTAATTTGGCAAAGCGATACAGCATAAAAATATAGTGAAAATAATGCCACGTTTTTGCCATATATAACTAGCCAGACTGAATATATCCTCCGCACAAAAAACAGGCCTAGAAATTCGTCCACACATTTTGGAAAATATGGGCTGATTTCCGAGCATTATTTTGCCAAAAATTTGGCTTTGACCTAAGCATAATATATAACTAATGTATTATGCAATAGTTAGGATTCTGCGCCAGGGATGGATTTAGGGTGGGGCCTGGCCTCGGTCTCCCTTTCCGAAAGTAAAAAAAAAAAAAGAAAAAATTAATCGCTCACAACACCTCAGAGGTTATTTTTGGGTTTCTAGAACACAATTTTGCGGGGGAATGCACCCAGACACCCTAGGATAGTGTTATCGCAATCAGCCCCACTTTCGGCCCCCTTTCGGACATCTCTGGATTCGTCCCTATGTGTGCACCTATTTTCCTAGTAATTTTCAGCGCAAATTTGAGCTAGTTACTGTAGTTAAATTGAGGTATACTGACTGTATGAATCCGCACAATTAAAATATTTTACAATATGTGAAAGAGATACATACAGCATAAAAATCGTCTGTGAATGCATGGAACTTGTCTGTGTCATGTTTTTTAAGCCATAAAATGTCTAGTCCTTCTTTGTCTGAAGAGTTTACTATGGCGGTAAAATGGCTATTAATACTGTAGTTCAAAAGAAATTTAGTGATGATTAGTGAGGGCGCACTGCAACAGATGGTAGGCAAAAAAGTCAAGTTTAAAATAAAATTTAAAATAGTAAGCTCAGGATGTTTATATTGTAACATGCTTCTTACATGATATTAATATGGATCTCCATTAATCAATGGACGAAAAAAAAAAGTGACACGACTGACTGTTGATGGTACCATGGAGGAAAAAATTTTATTTTTCCCCACAAAGATCACTTCCTCTGTTAATTCATTTAACTATCATAGGGCTTTGGCATTGTGAATTCCCCATCAAATAATTCAGGACACCTGACATCAAGGCCTGGCATTAACGCCTAGCCATACACAGAGCCTAGGCTAATCTAAAATCAAACATCAACAACACATTATGCACATTGGTATCACATAACATATTTGAGGTAATAACTTCAGTATTTGAGTTTATCATCTATTTAGTACTATAGAATTATCAAAATACAAAATAACCCACCATTTTTCGCCAATTGGAAATCCTCTTTAACGAACTACGCCCTCAGATACATAAACTTGTTGAATTTTTTTCTCGAGGATGGCCGAGAGAGGGAGCACTCGCAGTAGAATGAACGTACTCGTTTGTGAGAGAACGAAAATGGGAGATTGTGAGGGAAGTGAGAGAATAAATCATGGAAATATTGCACAAAGGCACAAGAGAGAAAGGAAAGAATTAAATGGTATGTTTTATAATAATATATATTCATGTTTTACTGCCAAATAGGTGACTGTTACTGATGGTCTGTGTGGGAAGCGATGAATCTCCTCTTCGCGATCACCGTTCATCAAAGGCAGAGTACAGAGAGAATAAAGAAAGCCCAGTTCTGCTGGGCAGTTACACAACACAAGGCCAAGTTTATGTACTGTAGGTCAGGACTAGGCTAGGCCCTAAGCCTAGACTAGTCTCATCCTTCCTTCCTCAACCCTAAGTTAGTTGTGCTGTTATGTGTTGCAGGGAAGAGGCCTACATAATATGCTCTGCTGATTTGTGTATCATAGGCCTATATTTATTAATGGTTTCAATTTTGGCAAACATTTTTTTCCATTCTCCTAATTTGGTACTGTAAAAAATCCTTTAAAAAATGGTTTTCTGCCTATATGATCACTCAGTATACATCACCTGATGAAATCTGTTGGAAAACCAATCCAATTGCAATAGGATTGTGAAACAGTGGAACACACCTTGAAGGGGGAAAGGGGTTTGTGAGCATCTTTTTAAATGTATTTTTGTGTATAGGTAGGCGCCTAATTGTCAATTTTGATATTTGAAACTGAAGAGGTAGGGCCATAGGCCCAAGTGGTTCTCCTCAGTAAAACTGCCACCTTCTTTAAATATCACTACCCAACACAGACCCTTGTATTATCTACAGTACACCACAGGTGGGCAAAGGCCTGCGCTGCGGCCTGCATGCAGCCCGTCTGCGATTTTTTTTTTAGGCCTGCGAAAAATGAATTACAAACCCTATGTGTGCGGCCCACACCAACCATCTTTGGCTAGAAACACCTTGTTTTTTGCGGCCCGGCACTGATCATCAGTAAAAAGTAATAGTAAAACTGAGCATAAAGTGGCTATAAAACAGTGTATGAAGGTTTTTGGAATAGATCTGACACATCAAAGTTTGGGTGCAGCCCTAAGAGTTGAATCAAAAATTCACTTTGCTCCTCCGACCAATTTTAATGCCCACACACACTAATTATTACTGTCAAATTTGCTCCTCAGGCAAAAATTGTTTGAATGTGGCATTGTACTTTAATATTTATTCACTAAAAGTAAAAAAGCATTTTAATGAAAATATATTATGTAAGTTTTCTCAATTGTTCTCAAAAATCATAAAGTAATTAGATTAATAAATGCTATAGCAATATTTGTTTAATTGAGAAAAAAAAATTTAATGGAAGATTGAATATTGGTGGTGAGCATGATAAAAATAAAGGTGCGTGGGTGGGGTTTCTTCTGTTTCGTTTTATGACAAATTCATTGTGGCAGGCAGTGTGTTCGCAAATAAGTCTCACCATTTTGAGATTAAATATTAAGAAAAATACTGGTAGTGAAATTAAATGTTTGAATTGTTGATTTTGAAAGGTAAAATCCAAGCTATGAAGCATGCTATTCCAAAGGGTGATAAGAAGAAGAAGAAAGAAACAACAATAGAAATCGCAAAACTTGAGGCTGAGCTTAATAATCGTCAAGAAGAAGAACTTAAGAATCTCATTAAACCCAATTCAGTCACGGTAAGTTTTTAGGCAATTTGAATTCTCATGTCTTTTTTGACTGGTTTCGGAGCATGCATTTTACGTAGCATTGATGCTGGTATGTCCAGATGTTTATTTAGTTGGCGATTCTGTATAGCATGCAATTGAAAGATGCTGGTATAAATGTGGGTAGACTTTTTCAAATAATCTCAAACGATGTGGATGTTTAATATTCATATGTGAACTCTGACACACTAAAATCAGTCAAAAAAAACATCAAACTTCTTGTTCTGCTTGATATATCCTGCCAGTGGATTAAATATTTTTAAAGAGGTTTTTGTTGAGATATTTATGATGATTGTTGTGGTAGTTCATACATCCTGCCAGCAGATTTAAGATATTTTGAGAGGTTCAGTTTTCCACTATACAAAACATACAGTATGGTATGTCCTCTACACACTATATGTAGTTACTGTACGTACTGTAGGATATCATGGCACACATGGGCAGATCTAGGGGGAATGCATAAGATGGCTAGCCACCCCATCCTTCTGAATATAGCCCTCTGACCTTGTACTTGAAACAAAGTAAAATTCCTAGTCAAAGATCATTGTAAAAAAAATTGTCTATAGGCTAAATGTTTGCCAATACAAAACAATTCCTGGAGGATGGCCCCCAGACTTCTGCCTAAGCAACCTTCTTACACCACCTAGCCACCCCACATTCCCAAATCCTAGCTCCACCAGTCAAATATATTGTTTTGTATAAAATGTTAAGATTGCTTATGTAAATATTTGTTGATTTCTGTTCTTTTGATGCCTATGTAAACAATTTGTTATACTGTATGTAATTTGTTGTGGTAATTTTTCTGAATAAATGTCTTGTGATTAATAATATGTAATATTTTCATTATTCTCTACTAGGAAAATGGAATAGAAACAGGAATGGAAAAATTAAATATGCAAGATAAACCTGAAGAAAAAGTGGAGGAGAAAGTTGTGAAAACAACAAGAGCACAAAAAAGAAGGGTAATGCATTCTGCTTTAAGTTAAAAAAAAAAATATAAGAGCCTTAATGTTAATGATGTTGATATGTATAAACATCAGTATATCCTGGTTGTTTTCCTGGAACCACTCCTGTGGCTTTCATCAAACATCTGGGTACCATATGGACCAGTCATTTTTACTGTATATGATAAAATCAGGAAATAATATCTGGCAAAGGCGGTCACTCATCGCAAAAATCGATTTTAGTTATTAATACAGAATTAAACAGTAAAATGAGAGCTATAAAATGGTGAAAGAATCATTAAAGTCCGACATTTCGTTATAAAGTTACAGGAGTTTAAACATACAGCTGTTCGAAGAACAATATTTGAGAAATTAGCCTTCAGAGTTTATGATTTTGGGCATTTCTCAGACAGAAACCATCAACAAATCGTTAAAAATTGTTGTTTTAACATTGTAAATGGGGAAAGTAACAGGATAGCATGATGTATAGATATACAAAGGTCAGTTTAGTGCAATAAAATAGATTTAAACAGTTTTGACATTCCAGCATGTTTTGGCCATTACTGTATCTCTGAAACAGGATTTGCGACAAGTGACTGGTTTGGCCTGTCTTTGCTTCAAATCCAATTAGATTGTTGCTGATTTAAGCGATGTCTACACTATGAAAACTTTATTGTCTTTGTTGGTTTAAGGTCTGTCCACACTGCCAAATGAAATTTTGTATGTGTCAGATACATGTTCAATTCAATTCAGTCAACATTTATTTGGTACTCTAAAAAAAAAAATACAACAGAAGTAACCAAGGAGTACACATAAGAAAACAATTTCTCTTTGTATGTACCCCTTTTACAAAATACAAACATGCATCAAAAATAGTGAAAAAACCCAATTGTGGCTTGCCCATTAATGTGATGTGACATCATCATATGAGTGTGAGTGTGACATGGCATCATCATACCCCATATATGGGTAAATCACAGATATTTTCGCAAAAAAAAAATTATAGTGTGAAAAGAACACAATGAAAATTGATTTACCAGCTTTGTCCGTGCTATCAAAATTGTTGTGACAAATTTATGTGATGTGTGCCAATATATGGCCATGATGATGTCATATTACACCCAAATATGGGCATATCACATTTTTTTGTCACATTCGATTTTATAGTGTCAACAGAGCTTTATTCATACATCTGTTATTGCCAAAAGAAACATTTTTGCGTTCTGGATTTGAATCGAAAAATGATACCATATTTAAAGTAATTAAATAATCGTGTATTAGTATTTTTATTATATTGAAAACAATTTTTTATTTGATAGAAGTCTGAAACTTTGACCTAATTTCCTTTTAGAATAAAAAAGCGAACAAGGAAAAGGAGCGTGAGCAGAGGATTGCTGAAGAAGAGTCGAACAACGTGTTCAGTAATAGAAAAATGGAAGAGCAAAAGATCAATGCAATTTTAACAGGTCGTGGCCTATGCATCCGTGAGGTAAGGGGATACGGGCAACCCATTCATTATAATCATGAAACCGTGAATTCTAGTAGAGTTTTGATTACTTAGTGGAAGTTTGGGAAACCAGACTGATTTTATTACAGTTCCCTCAACTGACTGGATGTTTGGGACCACTGTCTTTATAAAGCACAATATGTAACATAAGCACAATATGCAATGCTTCGTCTTACTCTACCGTAGAAACAAGGCTTCTTCTGCAGTACCTCCAGTTATCAATTTCAATTTTATTCAAAACGAGAGTTCAAATACATGAAAAAAAACATTCACTTGGTATCTACAAATCATATACAAATCCATGACAAAACACATCAATGTACACATTTTTACTTCTGCCGCAGTAACTCTAGTTATGCAGTACTTGTAAATGCTTATTTGCATACATGTGTTTTCTTATATTTTCTTACCAGATTGCATCAGATGGTCATTGCTTGTACAATGCCCTGATTGACCAACTTGCTAGACAGGGAGTACAGGTTAGTCTCAGTCCTATTGCAGTTAATTTTTAATGTCATTTACAAAAACATCAAATTGATAGTAGACTTAGAACATGCATATTGGTACGATTATTACTCTTCACATTAAGATAGAAATGTAATCAGTGTGTTGGTGTTTAAACCTGCCAGGTACCCATTTGCACTCCTGGTCAGAGGGAGAATACTATGAATGCCTTGCCCATGGACAAAAGTGAACTACAGACGAAAATAAGTATGACTGAAAACTCTGCACTTCATAATGAACTGGAGTCAGTGCCGTATTTAGGAATACTATATTCACATGGGGAATTATGGGGGAGGCACAATGATCAAGGGAGGGCAAGCTAGTTGTAGAAATAAGGTGATAGGTGAATTTTAACTGCTTGACTTATAGCGTAATTCAGCAAATTTGTTCAGCAAATTTCCAGTAGAGGGGTGCCTGGAAGTGCGTCACAAGCTTTTTCTGCAAAGTGTGTGTCTATTAGACCTCTGTAGTAAACTATAGACCTTTGGCATTCAACTATTAACCATTGAATTGTAATTTGCTCATCAGACTAAGCTGCAAAACCTGCGAGAACAGACAGCCGAGTACATGAGATCTCACATGGAAGATTTCTTGTATTTCCTCTGTAAATCAGATTCAGGGGAACCCTACACCCCAGGTATGTATGTTTTTTGTGTTGATTTAGTTTTAAGTCATGAAGTCCGTTTTATCTTTCAGCTCATCAAATCAACTCATTCCTGCAGAGCTCTGATTCTGCATACTAAACTTGTTCATGGGTACCTGTACCGTTGATATCACTATCATTCTCATCCTCATTATCATCAGGAGTAGCATCATCAGCAATAACATTAAGACTTAGTAACCCTTGACCTTACCGTTTTTTTCTTTTGCCTTAAGTATAAGTCTATCTGTTGCTTGTTCCAGTGTGTCTCTATGTCATTTCTTAACCTTTGTCTAGTTTGACCACCCCTTTTCCCTCCCCTCTTCTCTTCTTCCTTTTTAAGTACTATTCAGTACAAAGGACTGATTATCCACACAATCAAGGATCCTGATCCATTAAAGCAAATGAAGTCCCTGCTGCAGGTCATTTGTTCAAACTGAATCACTTGACCCTACTTTTACAGATAGAGCTTACCCAAAGTATCTACTTATTGGTTAATTTATTGCAATATTAAAAAATAAATAAAAATAATGTCGATATGTTATTATTTTTTAATGATTATTGACTTTTTGTTTTATATACAGAAGAGTATGAAGAATACTGTAGAGAAATAGCAAATACCGCAGCATGGGGAGGTCAACATGAGGTCAGTTTGTTTTTCCATGTTTTTTTTTTCATTTTTTTTTCTCTCCATAATTTCTACATATTTTGTAAATAATTGTTTAATTCAATTGCATGTTATTTGTTTATAGATCAATGCCATTAGTCATATTTATCAGTCGCCTATTGAAGTGATCCAGGCCGACAGTCCGCCACTGACAGTCGGTGAACACTTCAGCGAAAAACACATGCCACTTATCCTTTCGTAAGTACTTTACGTATCTTCGGCTATATAATGTGTGAGATGTTTGATGCATTGCTACTGTTGTCTTTTTGTTGATGCTGCTGCTGCTTTTGATGATTGATTGATTGATTGATTGATTGATTGATTGCTTGAGTGAGTGAGTGATTGATTGAACTTTTTTTAAAAAAATCATCTAGCAAATGTAAAACCTCCAAGAATATGTAGATAATGATTTGATTTACCTTGATTTACTTTGACCTTTTGACTGGAAACCTGTTAAGGTTTGTGAGTCCCTCTATAGTATGATATACTTTGATAGGGTTCGTACTTCAGGCTGTGGTTTTGCCATTGCGTTTCAAGGTGGCTTTTAAACTTAATTATAGAAAAGGCATTAACAATGTGATATGGCAGGCTATTCCAGCTATTGACTATAGCTAATGAGAAAAACTTTTGTCGGTCCTTAGTTCTGCAATGAACTTTTCTAATTTGTATGAATAAAGATCTATTGATGTTTTTATGTTTTTTTTATTATTTGAAGTGAACAGAGGCCTGTACAGACAATAGCTCTATCTGCACTGTACCAAAGGTTATATGACAAATACCTGTGATATGCCCTTATATGGGTGTAATATGACATAATCACTGTCTCTTATACACATCTAGATGTGTATAAGAGACAGGTATAGATCTACTAAATAAATAATACGGGAAGAGATACAAACTATTATATTTGAGCCATAGATCTGGCGAAATACTTGTTTCACATTTTGGAGTATCGAGTTACATTTTATTCAGATGACTTCAAGCTAAAATATTGTCGACATTAATTTGAAGAATTCCTAGTTTATCAAGCATGTACATCCTATAAAGAACCGACATGCCTTTGGACTGGGTGAGCACTACAATTCAGTTATACCAAAATCCGAGTGTACAAAAGTGAAGAATGACGATGAATTATAGCAAAAAATCTAAATCAAATTCAGCTTTTGCACTCTATGTTGTTTTATGAGTTTTATTAAGTTGATGGAAAGTCCTCATCTAAAGCATTCACACAACTGAAAGTGGGAGATGTCAGGCAATAGCAGGTACAAGGTAGAAAAGTGACAAGAAGGGAGAAAGTGAAGTGAGTTAGGTGGTGATATAAAGTTGGTTTTATGCAGCACAACATATTGTAAATGACTTAATATGCACTGTGGTGATTTTTTTTTTAGGCTTTGACGCAACTCTTATTCAATATAAGAAGCTTTTTCCATTGCGTATTCACTATAAAATTAAAATGGGACGATGTGTTGTATGAACGTTAGTGGTATTAATTTTGCCATATATTTAACAATTTATAGAATATATTTCTAATAAGCTCTGCGGTGCTTAATGGACAAATTCATGTTCGTGAGACACTTATTTTAGAGCAGCGCTTATTAAATTATTTACAGTATGTACTCTATGAAAAACCAACTTACTGAGTGTTCTGATATCGTGTCTCTGATAGGCTAATAGGAAGGTAGAGAGTTGAATTTGTGACATTACAATATTAAATACAAACCTTTATTTTTTGCATGTATGTTAAACCAAAGTGTATGTAATATTTTAGTTGGCTGTATACACTATGCAGTTTTTATGATTCTAGTTAAATTCAAATGTGTTGATAAATAGTGCCTTTTGCTTTTGAATCAAGATATTTATTTTTTTCTTTGTTTACTATTTCTTGTGAATGCTAAGTAAGAGTACTACACCATTCCCATTATAAAATGTATAAATTGGTGGGAATTAGGGAGATCGTACAATATAAATTAAGTATATATTAGGAACCCCAGACAATTATGATAGAACAATCTATATATCAAAATCATTTTAAAATTAGGCAATTTTTTACCAATATAAATTAAAATTCTAGATTTATAAAGAAAATTGAATGTTGTTGATTACAGTATTTGCAACCATTTTTATTAGTAAAGTTGATGTTCTTAAATTATTATTATTATTTTTTTTTTTTTTCGTTATTTGGAAATAGTTTCATTGACATTATCTTGAATGTTATTATTTTATTTGTATATCATTTCCATAAATCAGATAATAAAAATGCAGTTTTTCTTGATGAGTTTTTAACATAAATGCAAGATTTTATTTATGCAACTAAATATTTAAAAGAACCAGAAAACAGATTTCAAGAATTTTTTTGCGGAAAAAAATAACTTTTTCAAACATTCGATCAAAATCAGAAATTGGAAAATCCATGTAAAATGACTGATTAAAATATAAAATGTAAATTGTTTAAAAAACAAATTGCAAGTAATGATCCTTCCACTGCAACTTATTTAGATTCATTAGGTATTTAAAAATCAAGTTTTACCTCTCAGAAAAAGAAACCTACTTGAAAATAGAAGGTTTTTTGTTCATTTATAATTTATCCAATATTTTTGTGTAGTATTATGACTGAGGCTTTAGCTGTTGCAAATTTTGCTTTAAGTTGTCTATGTAAAAAGTGATAGTGTTATTTTTGTTGAATATATTTGTGCTATTTTAAACGATGTATAATTGGTAACATTATATTAAAGTTTATCATTATTATATTTTGATCATTATGTAATGTAGTTCATCAGTATTGTATTGTTTGTATTATGAAATATATCAGAGTTTACATATTTTTATGTCATGGTGTTATACTTAATTAATAGTTGAAGCCATTGAGGGCGCTAATCATGCAACTGAGAACGAGTTTCAAACAAAATACCTCTGTAGGATAATATGCTACCTACCTTCAAACTTCAGATAAATTTAATTTTCTTGCCAAAGCAATAATAATATATGTATTTTTAGAAATTAATTGTAGGGTGGCACTTTTACTGGGAAAATTTTAGAGAGTGAACTTTTCAGTTCACCCCTTGGATAATGTTGTTGAGGTCCCACAAATCAACAGTAGGAAGCTTTTGATCGCACAACGACGGCAGGACGTAGAACGTAATGAGGTCACTAACAGTCATCTGCGCATCATGCAAGAATGTTAAGTTCTAGTCGCATGGATTCCAGGGGCGGCGCCAAATATTCCCCAATTCCCCCCCCCCCCCGGATCCTCAGCTAGCGCTGCCCCTGGTGAATTCTAGCGTCGCGTTGTCAAACAAATCGAAAGCTCCCTAATGTAAAAGCATATGCAGACGCTGTCTCTTATACACATCTAGATGTGTATAAGAGACAGTTAACGAACTTTCAACAGAAAGGAACATCGAAATGAGTGCATACTATTGCAAATTAACTTCGTGTAGGTAAATAAGGTTCTTTACAGGCCTGTTGTGCTATTTATATTGGTGGTTTTTTGTATTAATTTTTGTACAGCATTGATTGAAGTAGCCAGCGAAAACATCGTAGTAGCCGATCGAATGTGCCGGTTGCCGGCTCTTAAATAAACCCCTGTCTATGGTTTTGACTATGTGATCTTGATGTTGATAGATGATCGGATAAAATTTTACTAGATAAAAGTGTCATTTCCGGCCATCTACAGGTACTATTTCCCCAAATTTCCTTAAGATGCCGCCTGTCAGGGGTACTAACCACCTGTCGGAGGTACCAGCTCCTGGTCGGCAAAGGTCTGGCGCTACCACCGCAACCCATACGATCGCAATAGTATACAACACCTCGCACATACGGTAGCACTGCTCGCAGTTTTTAATCCCTAAAATTTGACAGCTTACCTAAATTGTACTTTCGACGGTCGAGATTTCATTATTCCCCGACGACTTTGCTGGAAATTCCCCGATGGGGGGTTCAAGCGGGGGGGTCCTCCCCCCCCCCCCCCCCCCCCCCCCCCCCGGATCCTCAGCTAGCGCTGCCCCTGGTGAATTCTAGCGTCGCGTTGTCAAACAAATCGAAAGCTCCCTATTGTAAAAGCATATGCAGACGCTTTTGTGGGACAACACGTTTGTAGGATACTTGCTTATTCCTGGCCCTGATAAATTTGATTGACAGTCCGCAATCGTCCATTAGGCCCTAAAATAAAAATTTTATTAGTTTATCACCCTATCTAGGCTGGAAAAGTGATCATAGAGGGAAGGAGGCTTTTTCTTAAATTTTTAATTCAGTGCTGAAGCCAATTATCTCCCATGGGTTGTTTGCTGGTGCATTGATATTCAAAGTAAAACATGATTGAGATGATACAAACAACATCTACTATTTTTTTTTTTTCGGTACCATCGAAGACATGCACGCAAGGGTGATAAACTAATCATTTTTTGTATTGGGCCATAAATAGAGTAAGAAAGGGTGTATAAGATATGTTTATACTGTTGAGATTTTTCAAATATTCTATTACGTCATTGAATTTGCCTAATCACTTGCTTATTAGCTTCTTTGCCATTCTCATATTATTAAATTTTAGGAAATAATAATATTATAATATATTATTTAAATTATTTCCATTGTAAGTTGTTGGCAACGTACCGTCTGTTAAGCCCCGCCTTTGGATATTGTTGCTAAGGGTTCGCGGAAACGTTGGGACAACACGTGTTTGTGGGACAGGGGCATATTCCTGGCACAGTTCCGTTCTATATTTGATTAACAGTCTGGAAAGATTTTAAGGTTTTAATTAAAATTGGAAATAAGACGAGAACAGATGCACAAATGTATTTCCTATATTGTTTGCATAGATCCTTAACTTGGGCACAAAAATCAATCTCAGGAGATTTCGCGTATTGTGTGTAATTTACCAAAACCTGATTTGGTTATCTTTGTGTAAAGCCCTGGCCAGATTATCAAATTTTATTTGATAAAAACATGTGACATGCCTAAATATGGTCATGATAACATCACATCATGACCATATATAGGCACATCATGACTATATATGATTTTTATATTTTATTTGATCCTTTAGATCAGCAATTCAATGTTTTAATTAAATTTTAAGATTTTTTTTTTTCAAATTTTCGAATGTTACATTTTTTAGATCAAAATACTACTCATGTAAGTAATATTAATTTTGTTTTAGATATTAATAATTATCATTTAATGCCATATAGTTAATTGTATGTTTATTTTCGTGTAATAATCAGTGGATCAATTATGTAGAATTATTTGTATGATCAATATTAATTTTGTTTTCTTTATTATTAATTATCATTTTAATGCCATTGAATTTTAATTGATTATAAGTTTGAGTTTGTGTAATAATCGATGGATTTATTGACATAGAATCTGTGTGATAAATTATTGGTTAGTGTTTATTGCACTGTGCATAAGTCAATAATCAATAACGATTAGTTAATGTATTGTCTATTGATCCGTTGCACGATGTATTATTAGACCAAAAATCGTTTTGTTAAGCTCAGTGGCATGTAGAAGGCAGGTAGTCGGTCGGCATTCATCCACCCCCTACAAATTGGCCTAGTTTTAGGGCTCCGTGACAACCATCGCTCTCTTCCATTTTGGTTGATGGTAATTACGGGATAAAATTCAGGTTAATGTTTCAAATTTACTACGGGGACTTTTAAAACATCATTCATGTATTTTCAGCTCCTTTGTAAAAGAAAAATAATAATTTTGGCAAAAGCCTAGATATTATACCGAGATTTTGGGTCGATCGTGTTTTGGTAAAACAATGTTTTTTGGGTTTTTTTTAGTTCTTTTGTTCGTTTTATTAAATTTACATTTCCGTCACATTCAAAATGCTAGCCATTTAATTTGCACATGTTTGATAGTTTTATAGAAATAGAAATACAATGTTAATATTTGTTTATTAGACACTTCTTCCACACTCTCTGAAGAAACGTGTTTATATGCTGACAACTGATATCTCAATATAAAATGTATGAATATTAACCATGAAATAAATTATATTCAAGTACCTGTATACCTAAACCTTAGTGAGTGTGAATTCATTCATGTCTCCAACCATATTCTAAATTGCATACGGATTTGTTGTATTTAACCTGGACATCTCGAAAGCTCCGATGAGATTCTAGCGGCCCTAACGGCCACACATACAAAAAGGGATCTATTAATTAATCAATCAGCAGAGTACTCATCGGAGCTGAAAACCCCTGTCTGAACTGACTAATCAACACCTCTAACTAGTGCCGTATCTGGATAGTGGGCGCACCCAAGTAAATGCAACAATAAAGTTAGTTTTAAAAAAAAGCCTTATTTTACGCTTCACCTTCGCGTCCTGCCATCAGCCCCCCCCCCCACATTTAAAGACTTCTAAATCGTAACGCCGGGTACTCTGAGAATGGGGACCCTTGTGGGTCCCGGTCGGTGTCAATTCCACTGTGGGATTTTAGAGTTGCTCGTTTTTTTAATCATGTTTGTCATTGTATTCTAAATGTTTTTAATGACGAAATCAACAGTATATATTATTGGTGAATCCAGGAATTTAAAATACAGAGGCCCAGGGAGGGACTTTCACAGATGAAAAAAAAACCACACATTTAGAAGGCTCGGGCTGGCACCCCCGGCAAGCCTTTGATGTTTCATTTAGCAGTAGATAATTTAATTGATTTGAATTTGGTATTAAAAATACTTCAAATTTAAGCCTATTATTGCAACGAACCACGCATATTTTAAGAGGTGCAAACAATGGTTTCGATGCATTAAAACCAGATAAAACGAGCGTTTTTGTTCGTATGAATAATACAGTTGATAGTGCTGCTATTATCGGGCTATTAATTAACATCTAAAAAATCAGGGTCATATGAATGTATAAAATCAGGGTCATTAACAAAAAAAAAAGGCGCCAGTTTCCACTGATGATCTTCTGCATGTTTAATTCATTCTAGCTTTGCGTTCAATCTCAAAAACATTACATTGTGTTGATAAAATTTCCAGAAAAACGTGTCAATGTTCCACTGCAAAAATAGAAAATCCCACAGAACCACGATGTAACAAGTCAGATCATTCTGTTACTCATCTTTTCATGATTTAAATCGGCAAATTAAAGGCCCAATCATTCACCAAACAGTAGCCAACCATCACGACTCAGTACCGCAAGCGCAGGCAGCAGTCATTGAGAGACTTTTCATTCATCTTTTTTGTCAGTGTTCAAAGTATAGTTATAATTAGACTTCGAAGATAGGCCTATAATACTATATGACATTTCAAGTTTTCCTTGGCTGCGAGATGTAACAGTAGTGTCTTTTTGCTTGTGTTCTTTTGAATGGTGTTTTAGCAGATAATGAAATAATACGCCGGTTAACGGTCCCAGCCAATACACGGTCACATGCTCGTAGAAGGGATGGTTATGGCAGTTAAACGTCAAAGCTGATGCCAGAGCTGGGTTAAACATCATTCCCGTCCATGTATACCCTGCCAAACAACAGAATGATTTAGAAGGGGGAAAAATCCAACGAAATATTATCATTGCCATAACATTATCATTGTTATTATCATTACAATTAGCCCTACTATTATACGTCATCATCATCGTCGTCATCACCATCATCCTCATCAGACATCATCCTTATCATCATCATCACTTATTTTTAACTATTCCTTGCAGATTAAGATTTTTTTATCTATAAGTTTAAAACTGGGACCAAATGTGTTATCACCATTACGGTATCGGTTTTATAATTATCATTAACATTATCATTATATTTATCATTGGCATTAGTGAATTTATGGGTGGGTGGATAGATGAATAAATAAACGGGTCTTTGCATCAACCGTGTTTTCAATCTGTTTAAATTTGGTTTAAAATTCAACGCTGCTGTATTTAAAAAAAATATATAAATAAGCCTACACTACCTGCAATTATAACCTCACCTATCATTATAATGAATACTTGAATTCCGGCATCAACGTAGCGTTCCATTTTACCACCAACGACTTCAAGGGCCATTACAAACGAATATGTGAACGTAGCTACCATTTCAGCTATTGCCCCCGACATCAGTGACACATGCAAGCACGATGGACATACACTATCCATAAGGGGCACTTGAGCGGCATGGGGATTTGACATCTCTGCCCTCCAAAGCATCCTCACCCACGGGAACGCGAACTGTCCCCCGATTACTTGACATACGACCTTACACACCGCAGTCCTACTGTCCACATTGCCTATCAGAAACTCGTAGAATGTGTTACCTGGATCGGCCGCACCATCAAACGTCAGAATAAAAGAAATAATAAGGAAGAAAAGGAAGATGGCATAACCCGAGGGACCTAATAGTTCCAGGATGATATCTCCTTCCATAAAACCAACGACTAGTTGAAAAGTCGATACCACCTCCGCACTATACTGCTGATATTTAACTGGCAAAATCGTCCTAGATATGACACGAAGCATCTGACAAAATATGACAGATATACAGAGGAGAACGAAGGAAACGGCAACATCTGAATACGAATACATCATGATGTGCGATGGATACGATGAAGCAGAAAATGATAACAGAACCGATTCTACAGGGGCCTACAGAAGGCCTATATGAAAAATACCATTGATATCTACCGTAGCGTCAGATAAATAGAAGAACGCATGGAATGTAGAGAGATCAAAATTATGAGGAGCTATGACGTAATCATTTATGATTCTGCTTTGAAGCTCAACGGGTTATTTTAATTTCATACATAACGCGCGGTATGATTTTGTGACCAGAGTTAATGATAAACTGCATTAAAGTAGCCTATTAATAACATTTTCGTCGGATTCGTTCATAACCAATTTGTATTTACAACTGCATTATCTGGGCAGCGGGAATAGAGTACTTATTATGACATATTTATAGTTTCAGAAATCGTTATAATTTCCATGACAATAATGTGTTCAAAAATATATCTTTATCGATCGAAATAGCATTAGTTCCCCAGCAATCCATTGGACGCACACTCGACACGTATTAACACAACAGCAGGACCTCAAAAGGCTGCACCCAAAAATCCACTTGCCCAACCTTACCTCCAATAATAATAATAATAATAATAATTATTATTATTATTATTATTATTATTATTATTATAATTTTAATTATTATTATTATTATTATAATTATAATTATTATTATTATCATTATTATTATCATTATTATTATTATCATTATTATTATTATTATCATCATCATCATCATCATATTCATAATCGTTACACAGTAATTTAAAGGTTTTGTAATTAAATTAGTTACCAGAATCTTACAGGCTTGCTTTCTTGGTTTCGGCATTTGTCATTTGAACGAATGGAAATAAATATTTGATATTTGTACAGCGCTCTTTCGTTAACAATACATCTTCTTGACTTATGAAATTTCGGTAGAAAATGAGGGGACCATCCCCTTAAAAATATGTGGGGGAAATGTCCCCCGGTGATCTGTGCCCATGACTGCAACACAAATCGGATGTTGCAATAAACAATAATAAAATAATGTTATTTCAATTTTTTTTTAAATACTCATGGAATCGAACCATTAAGACGTTTTCCATACACGGGTGGGTGGAAGTAGGCCTACCTATCGCGCGCCACTTTTGCGATCGGATGTTTTTCTTTTAATGAGCCCAATTTGCGTGTCTTTTGGAACCGAGTTCTTCAACTTTCTGAAGTAACGGTATGAATGATGATAATTGGAGATGAGTGAACTAGTATCTATGGTACTACAAACTAAAAATAGCAGGCCGTGGCTTTGTTACAACAGCCTAACGAATTCATAATTCTGATTGGATATACTTTTTTAATCCATTCCTGACATAGCGTAACATCCAATCACATTGAGGAATTCATTTGAGTCACTGCCAAAATTATAATGGTGACGTGCTTGTGGGCTGGGTTACTCGGTGTAATTCTAACATTAAAGAAGTAAATTGTTATTGATATTAAGCTATAGAGTCCTCTTTGTTGCTAGTTTGATTTGTTTTTATGTTTGAGTTGTAAATATTGTCGCAAGGCATGAACATTAAACAAAACGTGCCCAACATAAAGACAGTTTAGTATTGTGTTGACCTCGGGTGAATCTTACAAACCAATTCTAATAATGTAATATAAAACTTACATGAATTGCGCCATCTAGCTAACATAACTTGCCATGCATTGTATTTGGTTGAGTAGAGTTATCGTAAAGGTACGCTGTTGTAAACGAGGATAGGCCTATATAGTTTTTTGAAGCTCCCGAGGGAAACCAGCGTTCTGGATTTGATTGATTCGTAGAGTTTGAGACAAGGGAAGTAGTCCTTGTGTACATGGTGCAAGCCCAAGACATGAAGTTGAAATAGGCCTATTACTGTTGAGTTTAATTACTAATTACACATTTTTTATTGGTTGTTTCAAACCTGAAGATTACATAGAAGACAACTTGACAGTTCGAGCTTCCTGTCAAAATGGAGAATAATTAACTTTACTGGAAGGAATCTGGTGTTCGCTCTCAGTGTAACTGTCGTTGCTGGTAGATGAGCTGCTGCAGGATCGAAATTACTCTTTATCTTATTAACCATCACATTTCGGTAAAGACATGAATTTTCGACGGAGCTCTATGATGGTATTGCCATCGTCTGGTGGTACTGGTGCAAGAAGGAGTTCTTGCGTGCTGCTCTCTAGCGCAGGCCTACCCCAAGAACCCGTTACCGTCTATGTTGTCCGCCTGTCACCACCTTGTAGGGCGGTGTGGATCTATTTAGCTCAGGTAAGTGGTCAGTTGAGGTGTGAATGCTGTAATACGTGTTAGTTTGATTCATACTAAATATGCCTAGGTTTTACCAATATACTTCTCATGTTGCCTACCCATTAGAGTTAATTTATACAGCCGTAGAATCAGAGCGATTTTATCTCGATTTTTATATTATTTAGATTTCAAGAATTTGAACAACATAGATATCATTTTTATATATTCATTTCAAAATGTTCAAAATCTAATTAATAAAATAAACTTGATAGTTCCCGTCCTGTACTGCTGAAACGGATCTTAACGTTCGCACATAAAACACGAACCTCATTTTAAAATAAACTTTCAATTTTTAACCCACGGAGGCGGAATATTGTCAGCATCTAATTTTATATGCGTCTCCATGACGTTAATATTCACAATGACAATAATAGACAAAGCCAGTTTCATAAGTATACAAACCTAGAGTATGGTTGTTAAAAGGTCTATTGACATAATGAAAGAACACAAAGCATAAGCACCGGATAGACAAGCGTTTCCCAGAGCCAAGCTATGAATATCTCTCCACACAAGATTCAAGATTCCACTTATTGTCATATACTGTACAATGTATAGGCCTAATACATGAAATTTGTTTTCCAAAGCTAGGAATACACAAAATATACATACAAATTAAATTACAAGACAACTATAATATATATGAAACAATATATACAGTGCAAACAATAAATTACAGTTAAATTAATAATATATAATCGAATGTAAATAGGTAGGCCTAGGCCTACAGCACGTCTTTTTTTTGTTATTTCGTTTCCTGTGACCTATGTAAAAAATATGTTTTACATGCCGAGGCCTAAGCATCACCTGAACTTGAGAATTGTGTTTCCTTTTTTCTGTCTGCTTTACGCCGCGGCCGCGCGAGTAGTTGAGCTATAGACAATTAGATCAATCACGGAGGTATTAAACTGTTTAATACCTCCATGGATCAATTACCTAGGGTCAAGAAAGGAGCGTTCACGTCGTGGCCCTGTTCCTACCAATCCTTTCACCACTATACACGAGAATCCTGATGTTGAGTTTTTAGACCAAAATCGACATGGCTCTACAGAGTATGATCTCGTGAACAGACTCGATAAAAAGTTCAATTAACACAGTCACACTTGTTTATTTCGAATTGCTAAGCATGTTTAAATGAGGTTTTCCCTCGTGTTAAAAAAAAAATTAAAAAAAATAGGCCTAAATGTATTCATGATCCATTAGAGGCATTGCTGAATTTGATGCTTATAAAGTAAACGGTATAGTGCGATAAGATCAAAGATTTCCACGACAACCATTGAACCTCTTTTGCAATGGAAACGTTTATAATGTGCTTAAGAATAACGTCATTGTTTTTAAGAAGTCCACTCAATGCATAAATTGTGTACTTTAGTGTGCAGCTAAGCATATCTCTAAACAACCCAGACATTAGGATGAGCGAAATGTTAACTCTTCACCATGGCAACTGCATGCGTGCTGACTCGAGGGTCATTAACACATAATAATAAGCCTTAAGGTAAATTCAAGACCTTGCTGAATACCGTTCAGTCGTTCAGCCAACTAAACAATGATGTTTCGGTAACCACGGAGAAAATAGGCCTATTGTAAGGTACAATACATTCCCCTGACGGTATATTTCTACTACACAATCTCCCCGTTTTAAGAATCAGAAGAACAAGTGTGTTCCCCTTGCTTTACCGAGCACACACTGTACCTTAGTATCTTGCTAAGCAAACAAATTATGTTCAAGTAATTAAAATTCACCTCCCTAAATTCAGCTAGTTCATTGACCAATCATTTTTTTCGTTTGTTTAAAAACTTTAACTCTGTCAATGTTTGTATTATATAGAACAAGATCCCATACAACCTCATTGATGTCGATTACTCGCAAAATAATCCTGATCTGGCAGAGAAAAATCCACACGAATCAGTGCCGACGATGATAGATGGTGATATTGTTGTATTCGAGGGGTAAGTCTTCATCCGGATGCCAGAATCTCAAATCTCCGAGCATCAGGTCCTTGCAGGGCGTTACCAAGACATGAGTCCCGCACAGCCGGACTTCTTCGGGGACTTTAAATTTGGGCTGGGTCCGGGTAGAGACAGTGTACGGGGGAGTGGGGGAGCATCGTTAAATTTGGCGTCTTTGACGTTTTAAGGGCCTATTTTGATGTTTTTAGGCCTATTCCTTCCTAAAGCACACTCGGTCGATTTTGGTAGACGGTACAATCGGGGCCATTCCTGGTCTAATCAAAAGTACTGTACGATTATTACTTGTGCGACGTAATAATGACGTCGATTTATCCTAAACTTTACAGACAGGCTATTCTAAGGTATTTGTCTTCACGTTACACTAACTATGCGAGCTACGGATCAACACTAGCCCAACGCATGCAAGTTGAGTCTGTTATAGCATGGGCTTCATCCGAACTTCACAGGTAAACACTTTGTTATTATACTGCAGTAAACTCCGCTTGAAAATATAACAAATAATTATTAACATTATTATAACCTTTATAATTATATATTTTGATTACTAGGTTATAGGCCTAACATTATCATTATCAGTAATCTTGTCACTATCGTAATGATTATCATTATTTAGTCACCAATTATTAGGGAGGTTTTGCAATAACAAATAAGGTTATCATCAATTAGTCAATCAATCCTCTAGCATATCTGTCACAACTTATGCAGCCTATGCCTTTTACAATATGAATAATATATATATATATTTTCAAGAATGTTTTAGGCATGAATGACGAAGGTGAGATTCGTATTCATTATAATTTTCGTAATGTTGCCAATTACCAATATCATACAATTATGCATTTAATATTGTTATCATCATCACTATGAAAATTGTTTAATGATATCGTTATTGTTTTACAAGGGAGTTTCGTTTATGTTTGGAAGCGTTCTACATTGCCAATAAATACAAATAATAGTAATAATAATAATAACAATAATAATAATAATAATAATAATAATAATCAAACACTTATGGATTTCTTGTTATTCTGCAAAAGGATTGTAGGTTATAGATGTGCTTACCCCCAGTCACTCGAGAAGTACAGTCTCGCTTCCAGGGCCGCTACCGAGGTACTTGTCAAGTCCGGAATTGAGCAACTGATTACCACTTTAGAGACCCTAGAGAAACATTATCTGAAAGACAAATCCTTCTTATGCGGCAATCGACTAACCATGGCAGACATCGTAGTAGCGACCACTTTGATTCAAGCGGAGTGGGTTGGATTCTCTTTTCGTATGTGGCCTAAAGTTTCAAAATGGTTGCATGCTGTCGCCAAAGTTGAATTCTGGGAAGACGTGCATAAAACCCACGATGAATACGTCAAAGAACTTAAAGAAGCGCTTGATTAGATAGGCATATAAACTTCTATACATAGAAGCAGCAAGAAATATATGTAATAATTATAACGGGTATAATTATTGTTGCAATGCATGTAGGCCTATGTGTGATCTTGAACGCGATTTATATTTTTAAAGTGAAATGCAATTTTAGGATTTTATTTAAAATTGTAGATATAATTCGAACAATAAACTTGTTGTTGAAAGCGCAAACATCGCTAGAACGCTAGAAGTACGTCAACAAATTGAAAATGCACTAAATGTGATAGAAACGTAGGAAATTATTTGTAGAAACTTCTACTTAAGTTATGAATGGGTTTTGTTTCAAACACCTTTCTTTAAATGAGTTTAATTAACCTTAATTGTAGATTGACGTTCGTAAGCCTAATGATAGTGTTATTGCAATGCGACTAAAACGTCATCACCTAAACGATACTGGATCCATGGAAGTTAATGTAAATTTTAGGTACCTATTGAAAAACGAACCACCGAATTCCATTTATGTACAAATACAATAATAATAACCATAATACGGATGTGTTGTGTTTTAAACATCTTTCTTTAAATTAGTTTAATTAACGTTAATTGTAGATTGACGTTCGTAAGCCTAATGATACAAATGTTAGTGTTATTGCAATGCGACTAAAACGTCAACTAAAAGAAACGTCAGTACAGGTACTGGACGCAGGGTTCCCGGAATGCCGCCCTCAGCGGCGTGTGCGAAGCAACTCAAAGTCAGAAGTGGAACGTGAATTTCGATTTGGTTTCGTAGTCAGATTTTCGAGATAAACTTCAGCTACCCGTATTTCTCGACTGAGACGTCAATGGGAGCTGTAATTTGTATGGCAAGGAGATGGTGCTACCCTTAATTTGTATTAAGGGAATTTACGCCCACAAACCTTGTAGTTTTCCCGCAGAAAATTTTTAATAATAAATTTGAATTTAACGTAATGATTATTATCATCTATCTAATTGATGTGACTTTTTATGCAGTTTAAGAAAGCGCAGCAAAGTTATTTGCATAGTCGCTTCTAGTAGTTAGTTGGTTTGAAAAAAAATCCTACGTTAAATTTTAATTTATTATTGAAAAGTATTTTGAATAATTATTTTTTAACTATAATTTAAGCAAATGCCAAAAGAAACTTTTCTAAACTGGTACGTCACATAGGCCCTCCAACATGGCGTCGGAGGCCTCACTTTTTTCTGTATGGAAGCTGGATAGCTGGATTGGCCAATGAGCAATCCAGCTATTATAGTAGAGATCATTGGTACTGTCCCACAAATACACTTGTTTTAACACTGTTAGTTAGCCTTGTGCGACCATAGCAACAATATCCAAGGGGTGGGCCTTACCATAAATGTCCACTGCTTGTTTGAACCAGGATGAACTAAATGCATGTATGGATTTTGCCACGCCACCCCAGGGACGTAGCCAGGATTTTTGAAAGGCGGGGGGGGGGGGAGCCGTCATGCGAATTACGTAGGACCCCGGCGGGGTTAAAGGGGCGAATCTCCCTGTGAAGTAGCGCACTCTGAACGTTCTTAGGACGTTTGAGAGCATAAAGTGAAAAATAATTATATAATAAATCAACAGTGGCAGATTCAGGAATTCGAAAG